TGAATGCCACTCACGTTTAACCAAAGTCTGTGAAAATTCTATTAATGGTCATTTTAAAACTTAGGCTGGGTCAGGATTCTTAAGAAAGAAAGAAAGAAAGAAAGAAAGAAAGAAAGAAAGAAAGGAAGGAAGGAAGGAAGGAAGGAAGGAAGGAAGGAAGGAAGGAAAGAGGGAGGGAGGGAGAAAGAAGGAAAGAAAGAGAAAGAAAGAGGAGAGAAAGAAAGAAAAAAAGAAAGAGGGGGGGAAGAAGCAAGAGAGAGAGAGGAAGGAAGGAAGGAAGGAAGGAAGGAAGGAAGGAAGGAAGGAAGGAAGGAAGGAAGGAAGGAAGGAGAGAGACAGACAGAGAGAGAGTGAGAGAGAGAGACATATTAGAAGTGGAGATATTACTTGTTCTCTGCATCCCATCCACCTGCAATCACATTACGCCCCAAAGGAGACAGTGGGGAGGATTTCATTAATAAATTTATTCCCCCCCGCTTCTCATTTCAATAGCACGGAAGGAAAAAAAATGTATGCAAATCCGTTTGTAATTAGGTTTAAAAATTCCATTTCATGGGATAATCAGACTTCAAAAAACTCAATTTTAGTTTTAATCAGATTTTAACAAGGATATTAACTCCATTTCGCTCATGAGAGAGAGAGCAGTGGCAAATTCCACGCAAATGTATTCAAGCTTAGCCTTAGGAGATAATTAAATAAAATTAATTTGGCAAGAATTGTCAGTAAATGGAAGCATTCCAGATAGCAGAGCTTCTGAAAAGAAACAAACGCTGTCTCGTTTCCATACGTGGGGATACAAAGCTTATTGTTCCACAGGAAAGAAGGGGAAATCTCAAATCGAAGAGCCCTGAAGCTTCTTCCAAAGGGCATTGTCTTCTAGAGGAGAGAAGACTGCCCTCTTCGGATAAGCTTCTTAAAAGTCACCCCGGAAACAAGGGTGTGAAATACAAGGGACAAAAAAAAACCCACACAAAAAGGATCTTAAAGGACGCTTGGAGAAAGGGAGAAGGAGGTTTGAATGGAAGGTTGCCTTTCAGAGGGCCCAAGGCAGCATTTGGATTCATTGGTTTGTGCCATTGGTGGGCGGAATCACAGGTGTGTGACTCCCGACAATTCAAAAACAAGGACGAGGCCAACAACTGACCCTCTGCCGGAAATGGTGTAGGGTCTCCCGCTTGGGCGGAGGGGTTGGGCTGGATGACCTCCAAGGTCCCTTCCAAGTCTTGTTAAATCTGTTCTCTATTGAAGAAGAGAAAACAACCGCCAAGGACCCTGAAAGTTGTTCATCCTAATGTCGGCGCGCCTGAAAACCTGCCCGGGTCAACGGGCCTCCTCTCGTCGGGGCAGGCGAATTTCGCTTTCCGCTCAGATCGTTAATCGACTTCGCTCTGCGGTGAAGGAAACGACCCACGGCAGCAAAATTGCCTTCCGTCTTGTCTCACTCTAAGCCTGGAAACAGAACGCGGAGGAGATGCTCGCATCCTTTTTACCCTGGGAAATGTCTTTTTATGACTGGTTTGATGGGCACACACCGACTGCCGAACAGCCGAGCTGGCATCCTCTGGTGCCAGGTTTTAGACGAGCTGGCAAACCCCCTCGCCCTCGACTCAAAAAGAGTCAATTCTCCAGAAACCCAGTAGCTTGACAATGTTTGTCAACAAGAGGCCTCCCTATGATCACCAATGCAAGAAGTTTCAAAGCTGCAAGCGAAGTCACCAAACCGGCTATTTAAGGAACAATGATACCCCAATGCAACAGGAAACCTGGATAATTGGACAGTGGTTTGCTCAGGTATATAACTCCTAAATGAATACAATTTCCATGCACACACACACACAGACACACACACAGACACAGACGAGAATAGGCATACAGCGATATGGCCCTTCTCCCTTTTACGCTGCCAAACTATTGGAGGCATTTCCAAAGAACTAAAACAGAAATAGTTATTAATTAATGCATGCTACACAATCTCCCTCAAAATACAAGGAACACGAAGCCAAATGATTTTTTCATGACAACAACAACAACAATAATAATAATAGAGAGAGATAGAAGAGCAGCTCCGGTGGCCTAGAGGCGGAACTCTCACCTCACAATCAGGAGGCTGTGAGTTCGATTCTGGGTAGAGGTTAATATTTAGAATAGACTCTCCTGCTCGAGCAGGGGGTTGGGCCAGATGACCTCCAAGGTCTCCAAGGTCTATGAGCATCAAAAGACAAGCAAGGCTTTTAGTATTATTCCTCAGAGGTAGACAGAAGGCTTAGAACAATTTAATCTGTTTGGTTCATAATGAACATCTGCAATATATGTATATGTATATACAGTATACACATTTCGCCAGACTCGCAAATCATAATGGATTAGTTGTGACACAAAGAGCTGGGAACTCTGAAGTTATCTTCCAAGGAAGAAAGGAGGGAGGGAGGGAGGGAGGAAAGAAGAAGAAAAAGAGAGGGAAGGAAGGAATAAAGGAGAGAAAAGGAAGGAAGGAAGGAAGGAAGAGAAGGGAGAAAGAAAGAGAAGGAAGGAAGGCGGAAGGAAGGAAAGAAAGAAGGAAAGAAAGAGAAGGAAGGGGAAGATGGAAGGAAGGAAAGAAAGAAGGAAGGAAAGAAAGAAAGAGAAGGAAGGGGAAAGTGGAAGGAAGGAAGGAAAGAAGGACAGGGCTTGCTCTGCTGCACAATCAGACACCTTGCTCGTCTTTTCCATCAAACTCAAATGAAGAACTTAATTATCTGTAGCGAGCCAAATTTCTGTGCCGTTCCTCTCCCACTGCAATATTACCCCATTAAAATACTAATATGAGGAACTGAAAAATATCTCAAGGAATGGCTGTCAGATGGAACTTCGGTGCCCCAAAACATTTAACTCCCCCAACCCCAATCTGTATAGAAACATTTTTCCCCCAATTATAAAATCCACAGACGGTTTACGACCACAGTTGGAAACTGGAGCTTCTGTCGCTAAGCAACTCATTGAGCGAGTTGGGCCCAGCGTTGCAACCTCGTTTGCTGCGGCGGGAAGCATATCCGGCTTCGATGTGGCTTGTCGGAAGCCGAAGTGGTTAAGCCACGGTTTGTTAAGCGAACCGCTGTGGTCATTAAGTGAATCCGGGCTCCCCCGTTGCCTTTGTTGGGCAGAAGCCAGCAGGGCAGGTCACTAAAAGGTGATCACATGATCTCAGGATGTTGCAACCGTCTTAAAGACGTGCCAGTGACCAAACCAGGTAAGTGCAGGAGAAAGCCAAACTGACCAATAAGACAGACCTACAACCAAGTCATAAAATATTTCTCTGGTCTTTTTAGAGTTGCCCACAGAAAGGGAGGGGGAATAGTGTAGCAGCTTGCAAAACCGAAGGTGCATTCCATCAATGTTTTCAAAGATAGTAACTAGGTGACCAAAATTTCTGCTGCAGAAAATTCTAACTGGAGAGCATGATTGATGACTCTTGGCTATGGATGGGTCTCGTTGGAGAATATGATTTATGACACACCCAGGGGGTGGAAAGCCAAGGTCAAGGGTGACAATGATGTGTCTCAGAGTCGGCTACACCCAGGCAGTGACGGCATGTTTACTCCTAATAAATCTTCTTTTAAGCTTTGAAAATCGGGCTAGAGACTCGTAATTTAAATGGAGGTAACTATCGGAGCTCTGACACCTACAAGTAAAATAACTGGGAATATACTTAACAGCAAGATGTGTAACAATTAAAGAAAAGAATTATATAAGGCTACAACAACAAATTAAACTGGGTTTGGAGAAATGGGAAAACCTGCAATTATCAATGGTAGGAAGAAGAGCAACCATAAAAATGAATATTCTCCTAGCACCAGCAAGATTGGCAAAAATTTACTCAAATATGAACATGGTTGCGAGAAATTACTGGATTTCAAATAGAATTTAAGCTGGAAATGTTTTGCTAGGGATAATCAGAGGAACATTTTAAAAAGAAATGGAATACCTCATATCCACATTCTAACAGCAGCTATTGCTCAAAGTTGGAAATTAGATAGCGCTCCCACAGACAGCATGATCATAAAGAAAATTATGGATTGTGCAGAAATGGCAAAACTCGTGTTGGAATTACAAGAGAGGGAAGAGAAGGAATATTATGCAGTCTGGGGAAAAAATGGTACAATTGGTTGGATGATAGGACAGCAAGAATAAAAGAATAATATAAAAAAAATAAATACATATACAAATACAGAGGTAGATAGTTAACAAAAGCTGAGAAAGTAGATGTCACAACATTGTAAAAATTCTATTCGTGTTGCTTTGTTGTGTTGTTTTATATTTGTGTTTTTAATTGTGTCAAATTCAATAAAAATTTATTTTTTAAAAAATAGGAATATTCCACCAAAGCTACTCTTATTTTAAACTATTCCTATAAGTCTAGAGAGAAAATACTTTGATGAGTTAAACACTATAATCCTGAAATATATAAATCACCTTTTTCAAGGGGCATCAGAAGTCCTAGCAGAATTTCAATTGAAATGGTGTTTTGTTTAACGTTTTGTATATTCCTGACTGAAGGCTGAGCTGATTGTCCAATGGAGAGGAAGTCAAGATGCAGACACTCCTTGCCTTACAACAGTTCCTTTAGTGACCGTTCAAAGTTACAAGGGTGCTGAAAATGGTGACAGACTATGACGGACTATGTTTCACACTTATGACCACTGCAGCAAATCCCTGGGTCTCATGATCAAAATTCAGGCGCTTGGCAATTGACTCACACTTACGACGGTGGCAGTGTCTTGGGGGTCACGTGATCCCCCTCTGACAAGCAAGCGTCCATGTGGAAGCCAGATTCACTGAACGACCGTGTTACTGACGGCAGTTGATTCACTTAATAACAGTGGCAAGGAAGGTCTTGAAATGGGACAAAATTCACTTACGCAAATGTTTCGCTTCGCTAACGCAGTTGTGGTCGTATGTTGAAGACTACCTGTAGACACCCAGCAAACCAACAAACAAAGATGGACATGTTGGAATTGCCCCACCATTTTTCACGTACCTGATATCTCGGCCTGCGTTCTGGTCCAGTTTTTCCTGAAGTTTCTGAAAAGGACCAAAAGAAGAGAAAGCTGGTTTAAAAAAAATTCCAACAAGACAATTACTATACACACACACACACACACACACACACACACCAGTTCACCTTACAACCAGTTGCAGTGTTCTATACATGATGCACGCCAATTTACGACCATTTTGCAAGAAATGAACTTTTTGGGGGGGTCGGTTTAGACCAGGGGTGTCCAACCTTGGCAACTTTAAGAGTTGTGGACTTCAACTCCCAGAATTCCTCAGCCAGCTTTGCTGGCTGAGGAATTCTGGGAGTTGAAATCCACAAGTCTTAAAGTTGCCAAGGTTGGACACCCCTGGTTTAGAGCAAAAAAACACCCCCAAAATAAATAAAAAACCCACCCATAGGAATGTATCAACTCACTTAAGGACCGATCCATTAAGGTCCAATCCATTCCCACAACACTGTCAACTTATTTAATAAGACTGTATTACTATTATTCCCCTACTACCAGATCTTAATAACACTTCCTAGTTCCTATCGCCATGATGGCGAACCAATGTGCCTCAGAGTCGGCTACACCCAGGCAGTGCTGGACAGTTTAACTCCCAATAAATCCTTTTGAAGTTTTGGAAGTTTGGCTGGAGATGATTTAAATGGGGTTAAGTGCTGGAATCCTATTTGACTCTGAGACGCACCATTCTTATCACATCGCCAACTTATCCATTGCAATGATTCGCTTAGCAACGGAGGCCAGAAAAGCCGTCACACGAGGCAAAATTCATGTGGTGAGTCTCTCACTTAACAGCATAAATATTGTGGTCGTTGAGCAGAGGACGATCTGCGTTCAGGCTGGGAAACCACAGACTCTTATTCACACCTAAGAGCAGAATTAGGAAAGAGGTGTGCAGCCTTGGCGAATTTTTTTTTTTTTACCTTGTTCTGCAGTTCCAAAGTGACCCGTTCTGCCTGGACTTTTTCGAATCTCTCAAGTTTCTTTTGCAGCCCTTCGACTTCCTCTTTCAGCAATCCGTTGTTTTCTCTCATTTCCCTGGGAAACCCCCCCCCCCAAAAAAACGCTCTTGGTTAGAAGAGAAACTTGATTGGTTTCGCTGGACTGTGTCAAAAGTGTAAAACTAATACAGGTAGGGATGAAGGAAAAGAGTAGGAAAAACACTCGTAGTTAAGTCGTCACCCTGACAGTGAAGTCCAATTGGATCAAAATATTCTGTCCTCTTCGAAATGGCCTTTGAAATACCCCCAACTTTAAACCAGGGGATTGTCCAACCTTGGCAACTTTAAGACCCGTGGACTTCCAATTCCCAGAATTCCCCAACCAGAATTCCCCAAAGACTGGTGGCAAAAACAAAGCCCCAGGAGAAGAGGGAGGTGAGGAACAGAAAGCAGATCTTGACCCACGGACAGACAAATCCAAAAGATATCCCCTTTTCCTTTTCCTTACCTAAGGTAGGTGTTCTCCTCCCGGAGTTGCTGCAATTCCCGTTCCATCTGGGGAAACTGAGCCAGCTTCCTCTTCATGTTCTTCACGATGACCGCGTCTTGCTCTTGCGTGGACAGCTTCTGCTCGAGATCCTGGAGAAAACGGGGCCAAGAAAAACCTTCAGAAGACAACCGAGCAAGGATTACACGGTGAAGTAAGGAGTAAAGCGTTGGGTGTTTTCCTCAGGGTAGCTGGGGGGAGAGTTTACCTCCGGGTAACGCCAAGGAGGAAGGGCCTAAGAGGTCTCACCTGAATCTTCTGCTCCTTCTTGGACATCAGCTGTTCTTTTGCCTGAAGGACTTGGATGTGCTGAATGGCCTCTTGCCATTTTCTGTTAAAAGGGGGAGATAAAATATCCATTTATTGCACACCGTGGGGGCTTAAGATGGGTGGACTTCAGTTGAACTCCAAGGCTTCTCTCAGGGGGATTCTCCGTCTGGCAGGGGAGATTAATAGTTGTCTGCCACACCTATTCATCTCTGCCCCCTGCCTTTTATCCTCAGAGCTAGGGTGAGGCTTTGCTAGCAGCAGTGGCTCTATTGTCCCAAGGACCGGCCCATAGATTTCCACTGCTCTCCTCTCCTCTGCCTTCTGTATATCTGCACATCAGGCACTGGGCCCAGTTGTTCCTCCTGTTCCTCATCAGCCACTCCAGATCAGGGGGCTGTTGACTCTCCATCTGAGGTCTAACGGACAATCCAGGCTCCCTCTCTCTCTGTTCCATTCCCCCTTGGAGCTCCCGTCCCGAGGACCAGCCCATTGATTTCCACTGCTCTCCTCTCCTCTGCCTTCTGTGTATCTGCATGTCAGGCACTGGACTCAGCTGTTCCTCCTGTTCCTCATCAGCCTCCTCCAGACCTGAAGGCTGTTGACTCTCCATCTGAGGGCTAACGGATGGCCCAGGCTCTGTCTCTCTCTCTCTCTCTCTCTTTCTCTCTCAGTTCCATTCCCCCTTGGAGCTCCCGTCCCGAGGGCCAGCCCATAGATTTCCACTGTTCTCCTCTCCTCTGCCTTCTGCACCAGGCACTAGACCCAGCTGTTCCTCCTCTTCCTCATCAGCCACCTCCACACCTGGGGGCTGTTGACTCTCCATCTGAGGGCTAACAGATGGCCCAGGCTCCGCCTCTGTCTGTCTCTCTCTCTCTCTCTCTTCCAGCTCCATTCCCTCTTCTCCCTCGCAGCTCTCAGGTTGCACTGATGCTGACCCTGACTCCCACTCCTCCTCCTCCTCCTCCTCCTCCTGATTCAGCTGTTGGAGGGTCCAGCGGCTGTCAGGCCACAACAGTTGGATGTTTTTTTAAAAAATGTACACATTTTCCAAGGTTTGTCCATTTTCAAGGCTACCTTTTCTGCCGATTGCGCTCCTTGGATTACGCTTGGTTACTAAAGACTTTAGAATCGAATTCCCGCCTATGGTTGCTCGCCTGCTTACTTGTGAAGCGCGTCCACCTGTTCGGTCAACTCCTGGATTTGGGACTGCTGCTTCTTCATCTCCGTCTCCTGGTTCATCGTGTTCCACTGTGACTCTGATACTTTTCCCTTCAAGCAGCTGATGGTCTGAGAGAGAAAGCAATAGTCGGTGTTTATTTGTTATACATGCTTCTCACCGGCTGTTCAAACTGACTCCTTGCAGAGCCTGCGGTGAAGGGATAGAATAGAATTCTTTTTATTGGCCAAGTGTGATTGGACACACAAGGAATTTGTCTTTGGTGCAAATGCTCTCGGTGTACATAAAAGAAAAGAGACATCCGTCAAGAGTCAAGAATCATCAGGTCCAACACTTAATAATAGTCATAGGATACAATGAATATAGAATAGAATAGAAAATAGAATTCTTTTATTGGCCAAGTGTGATTGGACACACAAGGAATTTGCCTCTGGTGCAAATGCTCTCGGTGTACATAAAAGAAAAGAGACATTCATCAAGAGTCAAGAATCATAACATACAATACTTAATAATAGCCATAGGGTACAATAAGAATAGAACAGAATATAGAATAGAAAGAATAGAAAATAGAATAGAATATAGGAATAGAATAGAGAATAGAGAATAGAGAATAGAGAATAGAGAATAGAGAAT